CGATATCATCATGTTTCTCCACAGATCCCAGTCGTTATCATCATGTTTCTCCACAGATCCCAGTCGTTGTCATCATGTTTCTCCACAGATCCCAGTCGTTATCATCATGTTTCTCCACAGATCCCAGTCGATACCATCATGTTTCTCCACAGATCCCAGTCGATACCATCATGTTTCTCCACAGATGCCAGTCATCATCATGTTTCTCCGCAGATCCCAGTCGATACCATCATCTTTTTCCACAGATCCCAGTCGTTATCATCATTTTTCTCCACAGATCCCAGTCGATACCATCATCTTTTTCCACAGATCCCAGTCCCTTGTTCTCTGGATCAGTTAAACCAATGATATCCTTTCGCACAGCCGTCGCACTCTATTCGTCATCATCTCTCTCTCTCTCTCTCTCTCTCTCTCTCTCTCTCTCTCTCTCTCTCTCTCTCTCTACCTGCCACTCTCTCTTCTACGGTTAATCTTCTCAGTCGCCACCATATTCTCCAAGGTTCCCCCTCCCCCCTTTCCATCCCTTTAGCACACGACCACAGAACACCCCTTGTCTTGTCCTTATATATTGATCTGCTTTCCTGAACTTTCTGCAATCCTCGTTAGTTACTTTGGCAGACCAAGGGATTTTTAACATACGTCTGAGGAACCACATTTCTGCCGTCTCCAAGTTCTTTCTAATTGTGCATTTACATTCCATGATTGACTACCACACAGCAATATAGGTTCTACATAACATTCTAGTACTCTCTTTCTGACATCCACGGAGAGGCACCTGTTGCACAAGATATTCTCTATTCTGTGACATGCAGCCTTAGCCTGGCCTATTCTGCACTTAGTTCTGACACCCTTCAACTGTCTGATGTTATGATTGATATGATATTTGAATTTATTAACTTGGATTAACTTTTAATGCGGCCGAAATATTTCAGTTGCTTATCTGTCATTTCTTCCATCAACTTAAATCCCACATTCTGTCTAGAACCTTCGTATTTGATTATTATCGTTTGAACTTGTTACTGGCAACTACGTTCGTCATTCACAGACGTACGGCGGAGGGATATTTTATGAGTAAACACATCGCGCGCAAGTAGCTGATTAAAACAATTTAGTGGAAAGTAGCGTGGCTGAGGTTCATCTCCAGGGACCAAATTCCCAGAGTTAACGCACACAACATCCTCCCAGTCTCCCCTGATTTCATTGGTTGTAAATCCCATTCAAACCAAAAGCTTCGTTAACTTTAAAGTAAAAAAAAAAACAGTAATCCGGAAAACGTTGAGAGAAGCTTTTCACCGGAAATTTAGTAATGGCCACGAAACAACAGTGGGCGAGAAATGAAAATTTGTACAGTGTGAGAATGGCGCGTTCTGAGAATGTCATTTTTATTTCCCTGTGTGACGTTGCTGGTATTTTTTTTTAACTTTTTTTTTTTTTTATTGTAAGACGCTTGGGGGGGGGGGGGGGGGGGGGGGGGTTATTTATTTTCTAATCGTGTTTTACGACGGAAGAATGTAACTTTCGAAAATTTTAAGGTAATTTAATAAATTGAATCCAAGAAGCATACGCCAGCAAATTTGAATTTTTTTTAAAACCCAGAAAGTTGCTTTCAACATAAATGCAGGATAGTTAACTGAACAGCACAGGCACTGCTGTAAAAACCTTATGTTTATTATAATTAATAGTAACATTAGTAGGTCGTAACATTGGTCAGGTAGTAACATTAGAACGTTGGTAACCTAGTGAATAGAAAAATTAATCAAACAGCAATATTGGCGAACAGTAAAATTAATCATGTGCAAGACATTAAGGTAGTAGCAGTTGCAGCTTTACGACAACCGGGTGACCGTCCTGTGGTAATGAAAACCACACAGAATATCCCTCGCTGTCCGTTGTGAAAACAATTGGCACAGTTTGTAGTCTCGGCAAAGACACTAGCAGGCACACGCATCACATGCATAAGGCAGTTAAAAAGCAAAAGTAGACCCTTTTTCACGCCTTTCAGGGGTATTGGGTATATAGGGCTAGACCTATATTTTATACACCAAACAGCACTTGGTGGATGAAGTCTCAGCATCACGCCGGCTGCCTTTTCTTCCCAGGACTGTACCTGGTACCTATTCAAGGCTAAGTCGACCTTGGAGCCAATGCCAATTTTGAACAGAAATCCGGGCCACGTCAGGAACCTAACTCGCCACCTTCCGATCCTTAGCCGAGCGTCTAGACCATGCATAAGACAGTGCCAGCACTATTGGTCCCGCGCGACAAATGCAGTTTGTCGTGGATGGAAGCGGCAAAAACAACCATCAATAGTTGCACACGCAATTAATCCCATAGGGCACCGCAAGTTATGTAACAATCTGCAGTTCAAAACATAAACAACGTGGGCACAGTCGAAAGGATTCCAAATAAAAGCCACCGCTCACAGTGTCGCACCATGCACGCAACTCAGTAGCTAGGTGGTGGAACTGCCGCTTTATATTTTCAGTTCATGCAAAAAATACAATAGCTTGCCATAGCCAAAAGGGATTTACTTACCACGACTCAAACAGTAAGCCTGACTATCCGCAATATCAGATCCAAAATAGTTATTAAAAAAAAGTAAAGATCCCTTTTCACGCATTTCGACGCATCGGGCATATGGGCAGAGCATCTCATATTTTTTACAGACCAATCGGCACTCGGTGGGTAATGTGGTCAGCATTAGGCCGGCCGTCTTTGCTTCCCCAGGACAGCCATCCTGGTACCCATCTGAGGCTGGGTCGACCTGCGACGTCCCCATACCACGATAAAAACCCACGCAGCTGGCAGTGGGTTTCGATCGCGGTACGTTGGATTACGAGTCGGACTCGCAACGCCTAAGCCACGGACGCCGCCGGATCAAAAAAAGTAACATAGTTAATAGTTACATTATAGCATTTGTCTGTCTGTGATAAAATAGGATAGGGGGGGGGGGGGGGGGGGGGGTCACAGTACAACAGGCACAGAATCAATAAATTGAAACACCAATTCAAGACTAATCAACGAGAGGTTGTGGGGGGGGGGGGGGCGACCGTGTGGTGGGGGGGGGGGGCATGGGAGGTGCTAGAAGAGGTTCTGGAAAATAATAAACACTGAGGGGGAAACATAGGCGGACTTTAATCAGGTTGCAACTGGTACTATTCACATGTTGACTCTTTGTTAACTATTGAAGAAGGGACGGAGCACGCATGGGGAGGTCCCGAGGGCAGTAATGTAAGTTCTTTATTCATTCATTCATTCATTCTCAGCAGTAAAATGAATCAATATTAATATCAGTAAGACAGAAACAGTAGACAAATAACATCGGTGAAAGAAGAAACAAAGTAAAAGAAGAAGTGGCTTATCTAAACAATAACACTGATACACAAGACAGAAACAAAGGTCAAATAGTAACAGTGGTAGTAGCAATAATTGTAGTAGCGTTAGCAGTAGCAGCCGCAGCCACAACAACAACAACAATAGATGAAACAATAGTAGTAATAGGTGTTCTAGTACAGCGTTGGTATCAGTACAAGAAATAATAATACTAGTAGTATTGGTACTGACGCTGGTGGTTATGTTAGTGGTGGTGGTAGTAGTAGTACTGACGCTGGTGGTTATGTTAGTAGTGGTGGTAGTAGTAGTACTGACGCTGGTGGTTATGTTAGTGGTGGTGGTAGTAGTAGTACTGACGCTGGTGGTTATGTTAGTGGTGGTGGTAGTAGTAGTACTGACGCTGGTGGTTATGTTAGTGGTGGTGGTAGTAGTAGTACTGACGCTGGTGGTTATGTTAGTGGTGGTGGTAGTAGTAGTACTGACGCTGGTGGTTATGTTATGTTAGTGGTGGTGTGTAGTAGTAGTACTGACGCTGGTGGTTATGTTAGTGGTGGTGGTAGTAGTAGTACTGACGCTGGTGGTTATGTTAGTGGTGGTGGTAGTAGTAGTACTGACGCTGGTGGTTATGTTAGTGGTGGTGGTAGTAGTAGTACTGACGCTGGTGGTTATGTTAGTGGTGGTGGTAGTAGTAGTACTGACGCTGGTGGTTATGTTAGTGGTGGTGGTAGTAGTAGTACTGACGCTGGTGGTTATGTTAGTGGTGGTGGTAGTAGTAGTACTGACGCTGGCGGTTATAATAGTGGTGGTGGTAGTAGTAGTACTGACGCTGGTGGTTATGTTAGTGGTGGTGGTAGTAGTAGTACTGACGCTGGTGGTTATGTTAGTGGTGGTGGTATAGTAGTACTGACGCTGGTGGTTATGTTAGTGGTGGTGGTAGTAGTAGTACTGACGCTGGTGGTTATGTTAGTGGTGGTGGTAGTAGTAGTACTGACGCTGGTGGTTATGTTAGTGGTGGTGGTAGTAGTAGTACTGACGCTGGTGGTTATGTTAGTGGTGGTGGTAGTAGTAGTACTGACGCTGGCGGCTATGTTAGTGGTGGTGGTAGTAGTAGTACTGACGCTGGTGGTTATGTTAGTGGTGGTGGTAGTAGTAGTACTGACGCTGGTGGTTATGTTAGTGGTGGTGGTAGTAGTAGTACTGACGCTGGTGGTTATGTTAGTGGTGGTGGTAGTAGTAGTCCATGCCCTAGTCGTTGTTATCCTAGTAGTTGTAGTAGCAACAGCGGAACTAGCAGCTGATTTTAATGATATATAAACGACAGTTTACCAAGAAACATCAAATGATGACGAAGATGAAGATGACCAAAATGAAGATGATGATGATGACGTTGTGATTATAACATCAGAATATCTAGGGTAGAGCTCATGTTGTTGAGGTTTTCAATTATTCGTGTGCGGTTTTTACCAAAGCCTCTGGTCTTTGTTGCAGAGAACCAGGACAAGATCGGCCAGAGAACTTTACGTGTACTTGTTGCTGGTTCCAGACATGAACCAGCGCAAGAATGGCCGAGATTCACTGGCCAGTATCATCCCACCAAACCAGAAGAAGCTAAATGTCGACGATCCGCATCAAACTTACTTGTCCGGGAAGATCTGTATAATCCCACCATGATGAACCTCGACCCTTCATCGAACAGTTTCATCACCATCATCTACCTCGTCACCAATTTAAAGATGGTGGTCTACAGCAACACCCACATCAACCCTGACGATTACAACATCGAAGCAAACTTCACATTCTTCACCTACCACCTACCAGACGACAACGACTTCAACTTCAGCATGGAGTACTGGGAATCAACAGACAAGACGCCCCTGGGCGGGACTAGTTATAACAGCTACGATATCATTGGTGACACGGAAAAGGCGCCCGTTTTCGTTAATTCAAATCCTCCAATCAAATTTAAGAAGAGCAATGAGCAGGACAAGATCGAAGACTTCCTGGCCATGGTCGAGGAATATGAGGATAGTAAGGCCAACTGTAAGCCTGGAACTGAATTCAACCTAGGGTCAGGGGTCATCAAACAGTACGGGTTAAACAGGTTCAAATCTCAGGCAATGATTGCTGTAAACAGAGCTAACTTCTTGACCAGGCTATGGAAGGTGGCCGAGAGGGAAGTTCTCAATTCCGAGTACCTTTTGTACGCACAAGTCAGGTCCATAGTGGAGTCGGACCCGGAGATATTTGCCGCAGGAAACTGCTATGACAAAGAGGAGTTCAAGGATTACTACCTGTTCTGTCCATTCGCCTACCGTCTGGAGGACGGGCGGATCAATGTCAAGGACCTTTCTTTGGAGTATGACTACCTGGGCAACACTTCCGAGTTCTTCATCAGCGCCAGGAAGAAGGCTGCACGGCTCGGGAGTTTCAACATCACCAAGGGTAAGCTGGCAATGTGTTTGTTCTTGATGTTGATGTGTTTGTTATCGGTGTAATTATTTCTGTTGTTGTTGTTGTTGTTGTTGTTGTTGTTGTTGTTCTTCTTCTTCTTCTTCTTCTTCCTTCCTCCCTTCCTTCCTTCCTTCCTTCCTTCCTTCCTTCCTTCCTTCCTTCCTTCCTTCCTTCCTTCCTTCCTTCCTTCCTTCCTTCCTTCCTTCCTTCCTTCCTTCCTTTCTTCCTTCCTTCCTCCCTTCCTTCCTTCTTTCCTTTCTTCCTCCCTCAACAACTACTAAGTCCTGCTCCTGTACCATCACCACCACCCCTTTCTCCTGTCTTTTTCGCCACATTTGTCTTTATCAGCATCATCATCGTCATCATCATCATGATCATCATCATCATCATCATTATCGTTATCATCATCATCACCTATCCTTGTTTTCCCCTTTCCGGACAGATGTAAATCCCTGCAACAATCTCTACATATATCAGTCATTTTTGTTTTTACCTCTGTTGTGTGCCAACATGTTGTGGAAAATGGCCTTCAGTGGTACACTGTCTCAAGTTAAACGTGATGCATGACCGAACCATTGAGTTTTGTACAATCTTATAAATATTATAACTGATATTACACTACTTAGTTTACTAATATCATTGTCTTTTTTCTACTGTTTGCATCTTTATCCGACATTCATTTCTGTTCTATCTTCATGCCTTATTGGCCACGCTTGACACTAGGTTGTGTAAGGAGCTCTTTGTTATGTAACAGTCGTGTAATTTATCGAGTATTACGTGAACGTTCTTTTATTTTGGAGTTTTGTACAGTGGGCCATAAGGCCAGATCTTTGCGATCACAAACAATAAATGCTCTTCTAACTAACTCAACTTTGTTGTGGGACGGGTGCCATCAAGTGCCTGCCGGTACCTTTGTTTGTGTATGCGTGTGTAGATCTGTGTGCGTGCGTGCGTTTGTGTGCAATTTGCTTATGTATATGTGCGTAGATTTCTATATTCATGCGCGTAAATATGCGCCTGTAGAGAAGAGACCGCCCGAACGCCTAATAACGCTGGGCTGTCAAGTGGAAGACCCAGGTTCGAATCCTCGATAAGTTTGTGGATGTTTTTCTGTGGCAGGCAAAACTAAAATCCTAATCTGCACAGTCCGTGGCGACAACACTAGCTATACGACCCTCAATGCTCATGTTTGAAGACCCACAACTCCTTCTTGCTATCACCCCAAGCCCAGGCTGAATGTGTGTGTGTGTGTGTGTGCACGGGTATGTGTGTTAGTCTGGGCATATGTTTGTGTGTGCGCGGGCGACGATAAGTATGTTTATTTATGCGTGTAAGTAGGGCTCTCCCACCCCCCCCCCCCGCTAAAACTCTCCTTCTCTGTATGTTTGCTTGTGAGATTTTATGTGCAGTGTGCTTTCATATGTTTAAATATATGCGTGGGTATAAATTTGTCAGAAATACAGATTGGCAGTCATGTTTCCTCTGACCTCGAGACGAACAGAAGAAGTAATGAATGAATGAATGAACAAATGAACGTGTCAAATACCGCTCTTGTCACGTGCCTGATCAAGGATTTCTCCTAATGAACCAACAGCACTCTGAAATAGTATTAATGTTGGAATGTCGGCTCGTAATGATCTAGGCAGAATACCGCGGCCATTATACACATCCAACCTATTTCAGGGGTGGGGCAACACAAGTTATAGCACTCCTAGGCGCAACTTGGCCGGACATCCCCACTATTACAAGAAAATAGCCCCCAGACTATGATAGTTTACTATAATAGACTTATACAAGCTTTATGAAATGTCCTGGACGCAAAAGCCGCCCTCTCAGAGAACAAAATTGAGAGTCAAAGTTCTGAACGTCAGTTCTTCTTGATAGTCGGACAGAGAATGAGAGGGAAAATGGTAGCGTCACTTTTACAGAAGAAGTGCGCCGATTTCTACGCCGAGGTCGTGAATTTCCCATCGGATTAAGATTAATAATACAAAGAATCTCTACCTTTCAACTGTAAGTTTGAAAATGTAGACATTTCAAGAGATACAAAACATATAGAAATATGTATTCCGTCATACCAAGGTGTAAATAGACAACAGGGATTAAATACCCACCGGACGGGTCGATATTTGAATGTGACCTCGCCACTAGGGGCGCCAGAGTCACGAATAGTTCAAGGTGTAGGAGTTGTTACGGTCATTCCATGACAGAACGGATGAATGAATAAATTAATGTATAAATAAATTATTGAATGAATGCATGAATTAACGAATGAATAAACAAACGAATGATGAATGGATGGATGCATGCATGCATGCATGCATGGATGAATAAATAAATAATGAACGGAGGAATAAATAAATGAATGTATAAAGGAATAAATGAATGAATGCATAATCGAATGAATAAATGAATGAATAAATAAATGAACGAATGAATGAATAAACGAATGAACGAATGAAAGAATATTTGAACGAACGAATAAATGAATGGATTGATGGATGGATGGATAGATGCATCCATGAATGAATGAATGAATAAATAAGTGAATCTGGTAATCTGGTAATCTGGTAATTTTAATTTCAGCTTCATAGCAAACGGGTCACCCCATCCTTGCTCCGCTCCTGTGCCAGCGAAAAACACATAGAATGTTTATCACAGTCCCTTGTGGAAAGATTGACAAACTGCTCTCTCAGCAAATCTAGCATACACTCGCATTAAAAGCATATGGTAGCCATCCGAAGTGCTAACAGAAACAGTCCAACGTTAGAAATGCAGTTCATCATTGATGGTAGCAGAAGTCATTAAAAGACAAGCAGTTGCACACGCGATCAATTTTAATCAAATAATGGCCCCATTAATATTGCGACAACCGGCATTGCGCCATTTTCTGAATCTACAAATCACACCACCACGTTGGTCAGTCGAAAAACATTCCAAATGAAATCCGCAGCTCACAGTGTAACGCCATGCACTCAACTCAGAGGCTGGGCAACGAAACTAAATACTTCCAGTCTACAAATGGAGCAAAAAAGCAACGGCCACAGTCTGACAGAAGCAAAAATGTTTGCCCCGGCTAAAAACAGTGGCAGTGCCTAGTGTCCATTTGGACCTGAAGCATTATGTGAGGGTTAATAAACGGTCACCCCAGCAGTACCCTCACTATTAGCTGGGGAAGGGATTTGGGACATTACATCCACTAGCAAGCCTCGCCCCAACAACGACCTGACTGCCTTCGTTAACGACTGTTCACCCAACAGCCATGCAGTTCTTTGGCACGAAGGAGACACCTTGAACTTGGGTTTCGGACTGCCGACTCCTTACAAGAAAATATATGTGTGCTACTGGTGTCCCGTAGCCGAAATACTATCTCACTGTATTACTAAAATTCAGGACTGCCGTAGAAATGTGCACCCAAGGAACGGTTTCAGAAAGAGATAAAAAAAAAAAGGCTGTCTACAACACGTGCTGTTCCCAAGCGGTCACCCATCTAAGTACTAAACACGCCCGACGTTGCTTGACTTCGGTGATCGGACGAGAACCGGTATTTTCAACGTGGCATGGCCGTAGACCAATAAGTGAATGAATGAACGAATGAATGAAGGAATGAATGAACGAATTAATTAATTAATTAATGAATTAATGAATGAATTAATGAATGAATTAATGAATGAATTAATGAATGAATTGATGGATAGATGGATAAATGGATGGACAAATGATTGAATAAAAGAATGAATTGATAATTGAATAAATACACGAATGAATGAATGAACGAATGAATGAATGAACGAATGAATGAATGAACGAATGAATGAACAAACTAATAAATAAACGAATGAATAGATGAATGAATGAATGAATCAATCAATCAATGAATGAATGACGGCCCAGTAATCAACAAAGAGTCGACATGCTTATACTATCGGCTGCAACCTGATAAAAAGACCGCCTGGGAGGGGGGGGGGGGGTTTGAATTAGTCTTTTCTGTGTGATATAGATGTCGATGTCACAACTCTTTCCTGTACACGTCTTCAAACCGACTGGCAAGATGAGTCACAACTGCGAAACAAAACAATCGGCAACATCTCTCTGCTGTACTTGTCTTCACTTCAAGCCCCATGTTGGCCTGGAGAGAACGGTGATGGAAGGTGCAGTTTCCAGACAACGAGGCCAACCGCCACGAATGTGGGTACACGACACTGAAGAATCATTGGGCACATAGGGCTGGAGAATTGGCTAGAGAGAACAAGACTTTCAGGATTGCCGTGATGAGAGCCACGCTCTATACAGCACATGCTGACTGAATGTTTGTTGATTGATTGATTGATTGATTGATTGATGGTACACATTTTCAGTGTATCATGATGATCATCTTCGGTAACACGTGATATAAATGCGATATAATGCGCTTGAGAAGTCGTGCCCTCACAATTGAACAAATATCCGGACAACTTCTGTACGGATCAAGGCCATGTACTGCATGTGTGGCCCTGGATTTCCCCATGTCCTTATAACTTATAGTTGCACAGGTAGTGCTGTTTTTATTAAAGCGGCGAATTTATTTGATCTTTGTGGGACTAATGCAAATGTGTGTACACCTTACGAAATAGAATCTACAGAGCTTTGTCCACGCATGAAGATTACTTGGAAATCAGTTTTAACAGATAGATTATATGCCATCACTGTACGATTACTTTCGTCTCAAGAGTTGTCTGTGTCTGCTTGTGACGTCCTTGCAGATCCCCTTTTCTCTAGTTTCCTTGTCAGTCGCCGTCATGGAGTATTACGTCGTGGTCGCCCGGAAGACTCATTGATTGGTTCGGTAATGGTTCCGGACGGAGCATGTGAGAATAGTAATTTAGTTATCAGTAATAATGTATGATTTGTATTGCATACTTTCTTTCTTTCTTTCTTTCTTTCTTTCTTTCTTTCTTTCTTTCTTTCTTTCTTTCTTTCTTTCTTTCTTTCTTTCTTTCTTTCTTTCTTTC